CCCCGCCCAAAGCCCCATCGGACTGAGCCTCCTCAGGGTGATGAAGGCCTCCCAAGGCCCTCCTTGTTGGTGGACAACTCTGCCCACCATGCCCTGACCACCACAGCCATGGCATGTCCCTGCAAGACACAAACACCATGGCCAAGCCCTTCACCACCTACCCTAGTAGTAGGCTGTAGCCCTGCAGCAGCCCTCAGAGAGAGGGTTTGAGTCAAACTACCCACTCTGTGGCCCAGGCAGGGGAAAGTAGGGCCGCGTGCTCCTGCCCTGTGCCTGCCATGGGGAGCCATGCTGGCTGGTGCTGGGCAGCTGCCTGCCTCCTGGCAGCTGCAGAGAGGGGGATTAGGAAGCAGATCAGGCCTGGGGCCGCATGACAGGGCAGAGATGGCTCTAATTCCCCAGCAAAGGGCCTGGCTGGCTCCCTGCTGACCTTCTCACTCACATTTTGCCTACCTCCCGCAGTCACAGTCAGCCTAGCACCACCAGTGCCCTTCCCCTGCATGAAGATGCTGCAGTGCCAGGAGACAGGCTGGGGGCCACATTCCCCCTTGTGGTGGCCTGCAGGGGACATGGCCTCTGCAGGGCAGCTTGTTCCGAACAGGACACACAAAACCTGGGCAAGGCCCATGGCCTCCCAGCGCCGCGCACCACTATCCCACTGACACCAGTATCTCTTGAGCCATTCCATGCCTGTTTCCCCAGCCTGTGGAGCTGGGACAATGACACCCACACTGACAAATGTGACGGGACAGCCCCAGTGATCCTGTGGCAGGACATCAGAGACACTGGTGGGACTGGGCAGAGTTTCCAGAAGGCCAGCCCAGACCACAGGGCCCACAGAGGACCCTGTTTTGTGGCACCCCACAATGGCCAGGCAGAGCTAATGTGTCTGGCCAGGGAAGGGTGACCTGCTGAGCACCAAGACCATCTCTCCACTGGCAATGCGTCAGACATGGGGGTCACCAGCTGCCCATGCAGCCTTTTCACCCCTGCTCCCCAAGCACCCCACAGCTGCAATGGGACTGGGGCAACCTCAGTTTCTGGGGTGCCGGCACTAGCCCCAAACAACGGCAGTCAATCAGGCCAGGATGGGCATCCTTTGCCCGCACTTGCCTTTAATGACTGTCTTGGGGCCCTGGGGCCTCAAATGTCCTTCTTCATCCAGAAGATGGGCAGGCCTTTAGCATCGCGGTGGGGGGTCTCCAGGAGGTTCTGCCTGTAGCTCTTGGCTGGGACACCCCTCACCCAGCCCAGTGGAGGCAGTGGGGGAGGAGGGGGCACCATGGTAGGTAGCAGGGAAGGCCGAGTGGCGGGTGGCACCCATGTCTCAGGGGTGCTGGCAGCTTGGCTGGGGTAGGCAGAGAAGATCCGCAACACCTCTGCAGAGATGCCAGGGCTCAGGAAGGCCATGATCTGCACTGGCTCTGCCAGGGTGTAGCCCAGGTGAGCATAAAAGTGCTGCTTGTCATGGGTGGTGAGGTACAGTCGGTGAAAGCCCCGGGCCCGGGCATACTGCTCCGTGGCCTCCATCAGCTTTCTCCCATAGCCCTTACCCCGCAGCACCTTGGGCACCACCACACTCTCCACGAAGAGGCTATGGGGGTGGCCAGCCACGCGAGACAGCCGAACATGGCCCAGGAGCTGGCGGGGGCTCTCCTCTGCGGCGGGGAGCTCTGTGGGGCCCCTGCTCTGCAGCAGCACAAGGCAGGTGGGGAAGGCATCCGAGGAGCGCTGGAGTGAGTGGAGCCGTGATGCTCGGCTTTTTCCCCACTCCTCGCCGAGCAGCTGGGCACAGGCCTCCATCAGCTCCGGCCTCTGGTGCAGGGGGACCAGGCTAAGCTCCTCCGACATGGAGCCCCTTCTTCTCACTGATGGGAGACCAAGCAGGTGACAGCTTAGTGGTGTGAGGGCCCATATTAACTCGCCCCTGCCTGGCAAACCCTGCCCAGCAAGCCCTGCATGCACCATTGGCCTCAGCACAGGCACTCGGCGACTGCTCTCCACCAGCTTGCAGCGGTGCTGGATGGGTTTGGAAGAATTAGCGGCGGGTCCGAAGTCAAATGAGAGCACTACGATGGCACTTGGTGGTGCCCTTGGCCCTCCCAGCCAAGGAAGAGACATGTTGTGCCAGCCCCAGGGCTGGACCCAGCTGCCTGTGCCATGGCTGCTGCACAGGCCTGCCAGGTAGGTCTCACCTCCTTGAGCTGGCAGAGAGATGGGCTGCCAGGGAACAGAGCTCACGTGGCACAAGAGAGGTTCAGGAGCAACGTGCCCACTCCCTGTGAGTGCATGATCAAGGCTTGCTCCCCCACCAACTGTGCCACCAACTTCTGTTGCTCGAGCACACGACTGAGACCAGCTAACTCATCATGAGTGTGTCCCCAGCCATCCCTGCTGCAAGCTGAGCACAGGGCAAAAGGGGACTGCAGTGCCTCTGAGGTGAGCAGCACCCAGCTCATGCCAGCTGTGTCTACTGGGCACAGGGGCTCGGGAGGGCCTTGCCCCCTCCAAGCAGCAATGACCCCCACCATCTCAGCCCCAGTGAGTGGCAGGAACCATTGTCCCAGCCTCCCCATCTGTCATGGCATGTGGCCACTGTGGGGAGGCTGTTCCCCTTGCAAAGAAGCCACAGGCAGTTTGCTAGAGGAACCAGTGTGGTAACTTATCAGCTGGCATTGAGCAAACTGCTCTGCTTTCCCGCCATGGGGTGAGGGGATGAGGGCCTACCCCCCAGTGCGCCACCTAAAACCACCACCCAGCCACAAGACTCTCTGGCTCCCAGCCTGGCTCACACACCCTTCGCTTTGGAGCCAGGGATTATCCCAAGGCCCCAGCGAGGACCCCAAGGCCTCAGCCCCAGCAAGCACCCCAAAACCCCAGCAGTGTTCTTTGTCCCCACTGTCTCCCTGGCACACACCGAGTCAGAGCCTCTGCCATGACCTCCCCCCCCCAACTAATTGCCACCCCCATTTCCTCCACCTCCTGGATGCTGCTGCAGGCCCCAAGGGCAGAAGCCCCTCCACCAGCCTTGCCTGTCCTCCGTGGTCATATTAGCCCCTTTCTGGCTGTGATATCTCACAAAGTGGGATGCTTCACCCACCCAGTGCCCGGAGCGCAGTGTGGCAGATGGGCTGCACCAGGAAGCCTGGCCCAGCCCCACACTGCCTGCCTTTCCCTAGCCCCCACGTAAGGGCGCGTGGCCACTCACCCTGCCCAACGCTGCTGCTTGTGCTGACCGGCTCCCTGGGGACCCTCAGTGCCTGCACTGGCTTGCTGGTGGAGAGTCACTAGTGCTGCAGCTCAGCAGGACCTTGGCCAACCACAGCTCCTCAGTTCTGCTTTCATAGAGTGAATGACACGTCTGTCCAGTGCTGCAAGCTCCTCCACCCACCTTGACATGAGGGGATGGGGCCAGCAGCGAGGTGCCAGCCTGCAGGCACAAAGCCCTGGGCACAGCCTGGCATGCAGCCAGGATGCTGGGCCACCTCAGCCATGCAATGGAGGGCACCAAGGCCCCGCGTGGTTCATCTGCAACCGTGCAGATACCCAGGGGTCTCAGGGCTGCAGCAGGCACCCATCTCATTGCCTGGCCCCCTGCTGGTGCTGGTTGCCCCTGTGCCCACCCGGACAGGGTTTGCCACCCCCTGCCCTGTGCCCACCAGAGGCTGCATAAGGTACACCACGCCAGTCCCTCGCCAGCACGGAGGAGAGAAAAGGGTGCTGCAGGTAGGGAAATGATGTATGAGCTAGGGTTGTGCACCCCTGCACACGGCACTGCACCCCACACAGCACCCATCACACACAGTACATCATCCTTCACTGCACTCCCGCATGTGGTACCCCATCCCACACAGCACCCCTGCACCAAGCATTCCACCCCACACTGCACCCGCTGCACGTAGCACCCCACTGCAAACTGCAACTCCTGTATGCAGCACCCCTCCACACAACACCCCCTCACATAGTATCCCACCACATAGCACCCCTGTGCATGGTACCCCACCCCTGCAGAAAGACCTTAACCTATCCACACCCATTGCACACCGCAACCCACCCCACACTGCACCCATCGCACACGGCATCCCATCCCTGCCCAGGGCACCCAACGCTACCACTCAACCCCTTCATATGGCACCCCAGCCTGCGATGCACCCCAGCACATGCCATCCCCCACAGAGCACTTCATGCCGTGCTGCCTCTGGGACAGAGCATCCCGCTCTGCTCACAGCACAGGCCCTGTGTGGGTGGCACATGTGCATCTGGGAACTGTCCCCCACGCCCCATGGGGTCCCCACAGACTTCAGCACCATCTTTCTCAGCCTCTCCCCCCACCTCATCGCTGCCCCCG